GCCAGAATTTTGTATGCGTGATGTTTGTTGACAAAGTAAAAGGCGTGTCCTGCTAAGGTTATTGTCCTGCCAGTAGTAATATTACTCGTAGTTTTCTTGTTTTTGTACAGTGGAAACTACTAAAGCCATAAAGAAAAAACAGCCTAATTTTAATAAGCCTTGCATTTATGGTTATATTAACAAAATATAAATGCATACTATCATAAAATTGAATATCTATTGATTATTTTGTAGTGTTGTTAAAGTTAACCCTGGTCATATTAATGAGCAAACCTGAAAATTTCTAAGTCTCACGATTTTTCAGTCAATCTCACGACTTTTTAGATAGCAACTCACTATTTCTGCTACTCAAGGGTTGGCAGGTCTGCAATGTCCTATTATTTATTTGATGTTATAAAATAATATGATCATTGTGTCTTCATTTGTTTTGAGTCACTTTGTGAAGAGGCTACACTGTAGTTCTCCCATTTCTCCAACTTTTAATATGGCAAATATCATGCATTAAAGATACGTTCATTGCTATATAGGCCTAAGCAAATTATAAGCGTGTACGTTAAAGTAGCTATGCGGGCCGAAACGGTCTGCAACCCTGTCAACTCGCCAGTTTTTACTAAGTAATAATATTTCTCTGTGCCACTGACTGCTTTGATATAACTGTATGGAAATTGGTGGTCAACCCATTGGGTCAACCCAGTGAACTGTAAATAACCGCTTATTTACAGTTCACTCTGAGTTCACTGGGTCAACCTCAATCTCGTTCCCAGAGTATGCCTGTTCGCGGGTTAGGTTGTGGGCACAGAATAAGGACCTATACAGAAGTCCCACTCTCGTGTGCGACATGGCACCTTTTTTCCACTGCGCATGCGTTAGGTCCGCCATCTTCCTAGCAAGTAAAACCGCAGCAAGCTAATAGTAAATTGTATGGCGAAACACCGAGTCAATGCAAGAAAACTTCAATAAAACGCTCAAATTTCATCGAATCGCCATAAAAATTATAGGGGATGAAAGAACACACATTTCTAAATGATAATAAGGTGTAATGGATGAAATTCCGCGCATTTATACTGGATAAAACGGGCGTGAGTGTCGAACAATAATCGATTCAATTATATGAATTTCAAGCGTTTTCGAATCAAGTAAGTTTTATAACTGTCTTTGACAATTTTATGCATGGGAATGTTCATTTAATGTTTGAACCATTACACTAGATCTAACTGCTTTGTATTTAGTCACGAGAAAAGTCTTTGTAAGTTAATTTCTCTGCAATTTGCAATGACATATTTAATATATTAAATATATCACTGATGGCACTGAAGACAATGCCTGAGTTCTAGAGCTTTATTAAGGAAACTCTATTCTTGTATTTAAAATGGCAGCAGGCAACCAAAGCTATTGTCGATGTTTTTAATATTGTACTTGAAATTTATCTATTTGTGTCTTGTATATAGCTGATGGAACCCAATGAGGCAATGACCAGTATGAAGAATGGACTGATTTCAGGGAAAGAAGATATTATTTCATTGGGCTGATTGGCACCCCAAATTAATTTTTACAATATTGAGTCAGTTGGGTTCATGGCTTGTTTGACATTCATAAAACATGGCATATTTGTGTGCAACACTTCAGGACAAAGGAAATGTGTATTATTGCATTACAGATTTAATATGAGATCTATACATCTTGGTAGCCAAGTTGGTTGAAGGATAGCCCAAAGACATTTCAGTTAATGGTATGGTGGACATATCTGAAGATGTTGTCCCCAAACCCATAATTCCCACAAGAATGACCAGATCATCTGGTACCAACATTTTATCCTTCCACCCACAGAAAGCAGGACTTTGTCTAGCACTTTCCAGAGCTTGTATTTCTCATGTGTAACAAACTGTCTTCCAGCAGACTTAAGAGAACCTAACACATTCTTAAAGTACAAATACATTTAAGAGATTGTTAGGAGACTATTACTCGAAAGCCCTGCATTGATGCAGAGGATGTAAGAACATGGAAATCTGTGTTTAAACTATAAAGGTTGTCGACGTTTGAACTATGTTATTAACTGCTGTTTCTAGACGTTTGTTGTTAAAAGGCCCACAGTAATTGATTTTAACTGTTGTGGTGCTTTCACAGCAATTGTCATTAGTATACAGTAGTATTATATATTTATAATGTAATGTATGTATTGTATCCATGTTGTTATTAATATTCAGGGTCGATTTACTGGGGGGGGGTGCACCCCCTAGCCCTGGCCAGAGGGGGTGCACCCCCCTAGCCCTGGCCAGAGGGGGTGCAGGGGGTTCTGCTATATTTCATGATAAAACAAAAAATTATTAGAGACAAAATGAGATACAGTAATTTGAGTAATAACATGATGATAAGCGAACTGTGAACAATTACAATTCAAATACAGTAGTCAAGCAAGACTTTGCAGTAGCGAAGCAAGTTGATGGGTAGGCAGCACACATCACCGACACAACTCGGCACCAGAGCTGGCAGAGCACCCCACCACCAGATCATGCTGGATCCACCCCTAGTAATATTAATATTATTATATATGGTGAAGGTTGAATAAATATAAATTTTATGACCATTTTGGATGTACAGATGTAACAGACATACCACTGATGAATATATCTGTCACCTGTCAACATTTGTAATAATTTACTATCTTAACAGAAAGCAAGTTTTTATTGGAATCATACATCATGAACAAAACTGTTCACTTCCATTATGCCAGAATATCTAACACCAGACAATTTTACTCATCAATGGGGAAGCTCTGCAGCTCAATGGTTCACCAAAAAATCTGACCATGTCTCTAGGTTAACCCATTGAGCCACAATGTGCCCTACTTAGACTAAGAAATATATATTTCTGAATAGCAATAAAATATTCTATAGTTTTGTGTGCAAGTTCACACATTTGCATCCATCAAGAATAGAAAATCAACTACAAAATTGGTAGTGTGAACCAAGCTTTAGAACATGTACAGTTTGTCATCTAATCTGTAATGTGAGATGTTTTTGTTGTGTTTAAATATACATTTATACAATTTAATCTTGAAAAGCTTCAAAAAACATTTCATATATGTCTTTGCAAAGGTTTTATACATCATAAAGCTAAGTCATTAGCTTTGATGGCCTAACCTTTGCCGAGATGTTCGATATGTAGTTGCCATGGAAATGTTGGAGCTGAAGTTATGAATGCTCAAAAGAGTTAAGGGTTATGTTTCCATGACTCTCACTTTTTGAAATCTGAAAATATGCACAAATTGTGTATTTGACCTCTCTTAAATTATGCTTCAGCAGCCAAATAGAACCATTAAGAAAGAGACGTAAGCATGTCTATTGTGCTTTTCAGGCTTAAAGGTAGAGGTTTTGCAGTTGTGAGTTTTCACAACTGCAAAAAAGTGTGCACAACCGCACAATTTCTTGGATATGTGGAACAACTAGATTTACTATAGAAGACATTTTCATCACAAACATTTTGTCACCATATGTCTACATTGACAAAAAATTTCCATATTACAAAATATTCCCATTTTGCATTATAATTAAAGTTAATGTTTGTAGAAGTTGTTCAAATCATGGAAGTTGTTTCATCTGTGATCTTTCAAACTGAAAAATATCAAAAAAAGGAAATATATCAGTGATATACTGGTATAAAGTGCATGCAAGAACAGTAATAAGTATAATAGGTTTTGTTTGTGGAAACACCACGTAAATTTATTACTGCAAAGCTTTCGATCCGTAAGCCCGGTGTCACGGTCTCAGCACTCCCCCAGTCTGAGTTATCCGTTTTGATTATTTGCGCATGCGTGAAAAGAGCGGACCGCTGAGCACGTAGCTAGCTGGCCTGAACGCTCCCCCAGTCTGAGTTATCCGCAAATATATTTTTGCTCTTTATCTTTGTTTATTTAAAAAAAAGACTTTAAAAGCACTTTCATGAAGGCACATTATTGTTAGATATGGTAAGGCTGTTAAATATCGTATTATTTCTTTATAAATATGATCACATATAATTGTTTAATTAAAAGAGATAACTCAGACTGAGGAGTATCGAGACTGGTCTAAATGCTCCCCAGTCTGGGGTATCTCCTCATATAATTGTTTAATTAAAAGAGATAACTCAGACTGAGGAGTATCGAGACTGGTCTGAATGCTCCCCAGTCTGGGGTATCTCCTGATATAATTGTTTAATTAAAAGAGATAACTCAGACTGAGGAGTATCGAGACTGGTCGAAATGCTCCCCAGTCTGGGGTATCTCCTCATATAATTGTTTAATTAAAAGAGATAACTCAGACTGAGGAGTATCGAGACTGGTCTGAATGCTCCCCAGTCTGGGGTATCTCCTGATATAATTGTTTAATTAAAAGAGATGACTCGGCCTGATGAGTATCGAGACTGGTCGAAATGGTCCCCAGTCTGGGGTATATCCTGATATAATTGTTTAATTAAAAGAGATAACTCAGACTGAGGAGTATCGAGACTAGTCTAAATGCTCCCCAGTCTGGGGTATCTCCTGATATAATTGTTTAAAAGAGATAACTCAGACTGAGGAGTATCGAGACTGGTCTAAATGCTCCACAGTCTGGGGTATCTCCTCATATAAATTTTTAAAAGAGATAACTCAGACTGAGGAGTATTGAGATTGGTCTAAATGCTCCCCAGTCTGGGGTATCTCCTCATATAATTGTTTAATTAAAAGAGATAACTCAGACTGAGGAGTATCGAGACTAGTCTAAATGCTCCCCAGTCTGGGGTATCTCCTGATATAATTGTTTAAAAGAGATAACTCAGACTGAGGAGTATCGAGACTAGTCTAAATGCTCCCCAGTCTGGGGTATCTCCTGATATAATTGTTTAA